GCTTGTACCGCTGCACCTGTCTTAAAGTAATAGCCCCTAGTTGGAATTTTCAGCTCTAAACTGGCACACACTTACCTCTTTCTACAACTGTCGGCTTCCTCCACGTTGTTGTCACTTTCAATAACACTGTCTGCGTATCTGCCGCTGATTGAATCTAGTACTGAAAGAAGCTCAGTCTGTGAACTCGAAGGCAGCAGTAAGTTCAAACCGCTGCACCTGTCTTAAAGTAATAGCCCCTAGTTGGAATTTTCAGCTCTAAACTGGCACACACTTACCTCTTTCTACAACTGTCGGCTTCCTCCACGTTGTTGTCACTTTCAATAACACTGTCTGCGTATCTGCCGCTGATTGAATCTAGTACTGAAAGAAGCTCAGTCTGTGAACTCGAAGGCAGCAGTAAGTTCAACAATCTGTGCAACATCCCCACTGGTACCATTGTCAGTTTGGTTAAATAAGCTGCCAATTGGAGCTCCTAGAGGAATCAATGATAAAAGTTCAGACATATTCAACATCATACCATAAGGCCCCATATCCCAGCTCCTCTTTTTTTTTTTTTTTCCTGTCTGAGTAAGGGAGCCTGCCCCATTCTCTCTGCAAGAGGATTTCTTGTGCAAATGTTATTCATTCCCAGAGACACTTTCCCTCTATCACTAATCCTGTTAAGGCTCTCTCTCTCTCTCTATTGGACTCGACAGGCCATGCCACTTAGCAAGATGGACTGATCGCTAGATGCTACTACCTTCAAGGGACAGCTCTCCCCATCACACAGCATTACAACAAAGGAAATGATCGGTAGCTTTAAATTTGAAACATTATAAAATGTACCACTTTGGAGGAAAAACTGTACAATGAAAATCATTTTAAAAGTCAATGGCCTTGGGAACCTGCACTATTATCACTAGCTATGTAATTTACACCATTGATTAGCATGTGCATGAAAATCTTTCACTTCATTCTGGGACTTACAGTCAGCCTGACTCTATGCATTAAGTTATTGTGCAGCCACATAAATGGTTGCACAATTCTCCACTGTTTGGAAATTACCATGCAACCGTCCTCTAGAGTGTAAGCTTTCATTTAAAAACAAAAACAACTGCCTCCCCCCAAAGCCTCCAGTCCTTATTGTGGAAAAGGAAACATTCAAAATAGGAATGGAATGTACGAGCTATGCATATTTCTCAATCTGCATGGAGCAATCGCTGGGAGAGAAGTCTGAATGAATGCCATTTCTCTCAAAGGTGCTTCTAACTAAAAATGGTTATGCACCTTTTTTTTCCCCACTTGGGTGGTGGCAGCATATCACCCAACATCAGGGAATCTGTGACCTCGAGGAGTTTTTAAGCAGAAGCCTATAGAGACAAGGTATTATTAAAGTCTTTTGTGGGTCCCCACCTTCTGCACTCGAAGTGCCAGAGTGGGGAACAGTCATCCCAACACACAAGTGGAAGAAAAAAATCTTTTTGAACCCCAGAAGATTCACTTGGGAACTTCTTCCTTGAGGGTACACCCCAAGATCTTTTACCACAAGAGAGCTTGAACAAAAAATCCCAAACTGTAATCTCTGATAGCTGGCCTCCCAGTCTTAGGCATGCATACAGAGACCGTCCAGGACACAAGAATTACATCATGGTCTCAAAAAAGGAGATTTTATTAACAAAACAAAAGGCTATACTTGGTAAAAAACACTTGGTTCCTAGGTGTAATAAGACAAACTAAGAAAAAACAGATTAAAGCACAGAGAATTGCTTTCATGGGATTCAGTTTTAGTTAACAGTGTAAGCGGAGGGGGGAGGCACATGGACTCATCATAGAGAAATTTAACCAAACTACAAAACAAAGAAAATAACCTGACCGTGTCTGAGATGAATAGGAGGAGTGCTAGCCAGCACCCGGTGACTAAGGGATTAAATTCAGGTAACTAGCAAGGGTGTTGGCCAGAAGAATCAATGGAAACACGGTGCTGAAATCTGAATTGTATAAGATATCTTGCCTGCTTTCTTTGTGTGGGAGAGTTAAGCCAGGAGTTGAGAGACAAAGAACAATTTAAACCAAGGCAGGACTACCATGCCTCCAAGGAATTTGGGGTATGGAAGTGGACTGAATCAGGAAGGGGTTGTGAGTAAATAAAGGGAAAGGTGTATTTAGTCACGATTAAGGTATTTTTCTTTATTTTTGTGGTTTGGTGTGAACTGTTCTGTGTAAATCCATGCCTTCCCTCCTCCATTCACTATCTAAGGGTATGTCTACACTACAGCACTAATTCGAACTAATTTAGTTCGAATTAGTTAATTAGAACTAAGCTAATTCAAATTAGCGCATCTAGACTTAAAAACTAGTTCGAATTAGCGTTTTGCTAATTCGAACTAGCATGACCACACAGAGTGAACCCTGACCTGAGGTTAAGTCTGGCCGGAAGCAGTGCCGGCAGGGCATCAGATTAGGACTTAGAGTGTGGAGCTGCTGCCTCAGGCTAGCCGAGGGCTGTGCTTAAAGGGACCCGACCCCCACCCCGGACAGACAGTTCTCAGGGGTTCCCCGCTTGCAAAGCAGTCCTGGCTTGGAGTGCCCTGAGTGCCCGCACTTGGCACATCACAGCACTCAGCCATCAGCCCGGCTGCACTTGCCGCAGGCTGCCATCCGGGGGGGGGGGGTCAATTGGGGGGCTGCAGAAGAGCTTCCACCTCAAGCTGCCCGCAGAGCCACCCCAGTCCTCCCCATCGGGGGCTCGTACCCCATTCCTCCCTCACCTCCTTCCACTTACCCCTCCCTAGCCCCCTTTCCTGATGTAAAGGACACATGTGTTCAAAAATAGAAACTCTCTTTATTGAACAAAACTCAGGGAGACTGGGAAAAGAAGGTGAGAGAGGGGAAGAGAGAGGGTGGGAGAGGGGAGGGCAACTAAAATGATCAGGGGTTTGGAACAGGTCCCATATGAAGAGAGGCTAAAGAGACTGGGACTTCTCAGCTTAGAAAAGAGGAGACTGAGGGGGGATATGATAGAGGTCTATAAAAGCATGAGTGGTGTGGAGAGGGTGCATAAAGAAAAGTTCTTCATTAGTTCCCATAATAGAAGGACTAAAGGACACCAAATCAAATGAATGGGTAGCAGGCTTCAAACTAATAACTGAAAGTTCTTTTTCACAAAGCAAATAGTCAACCTGTGGAACTCCTTGCTGCAGGAGGCTGTGAAGGCTAGAACTAGAACAGAGTTTAAAGAGAAGTGAGATAAAGTCATGGAGGTTGGCTTCATGGAGTGGTATTAGCCAAGGGTAGGAATGGTGTCCCTGGCCTCTGTTTGTGGAAGGCTAGAGATGGATGGCACGAGACAAATGGCTTGGTCATTGTTTCGGTCCATCCCCT